CAGCTCGCCCTCCTAAGACTTCCCAGCGTCAAGAAAACGGTTAATTTAAAATTTAATTTAACGGTCTCCCGGGTGTGACGTGGCATTCTTGCTTCACGAGACGTCGCGGAGATGCCCGAGGAGGGAATGTTTAGTTATTTAATGTTAATTACCGAGTGAGTTAAAGAAATATGCCGCATCAATCCACTCTTTGATAGTTGAGTGGATTGATGCGGCCAGAGACTTTTCAACACACTCCCTCTATAACCCAACCACTTGACTGGATGGTAGAGCGATGGCGTCGCTTCTTGCAGGTCGGTGTTCAATCCCCCGATCGTCCAAGTGGTAGGGCACCACTCTTTTCCCGCGTCACATCCCAAATCCTTATTCTCGCGAACAAATCCGCAAGGGCCGTGATGAGGGTTCGAACCTACGTCCGGGATGATCCTCGTATCCTTTCCAAATGTTACATAGTTATAATGGCTTAGGGATTTCTCCTGCTAGTTACCTCGCCTCTCCCTCTATACATAAGGGGCATGTCTAGCCGAGCTCCCCAATTATCTGGTTCAGGAACGGGACTGTAAGTCCACTACGGGCTCACCATAGCCCGTGCTACTTGGAACTTTTTGTTTCCAGTAGCTGAATCTATAACAGCAGCAGCCGAGCTCTCGCGGTGTTCAAAAGTGAAGTCGATAACCCTCCATAAAGGACACTTGATACAATGGGCTGTGATTCACATGTCAGACCGCTGACTGGTGCGGCTGACAGCCTGTTTGACCAGACCAGCAGACGGGAAGCCGGGTCAGAGGTCGGGCCATACCTGTACCGGGATGGAGTTCCGGAAGTGCTTCTGCTCCCCCCCCCCTCCCCCATGCCCGGCCCGAGGCCAGTCTTGACTTGTTATTACTTGGTTCAACAGGCTGTTGCTTGGAGCGGGTCCACAGACCCACATGTCAACTACATGTGGTTGGTCGGTGTTAGGGATTTCTTCTGCTAATTACCTCGCTTTTCCCTCTATACATAAAGGGCATGTCTAGCCGAGCTCCCAAGTTACAGTCCCGCTCCTACAACCCGGTTGGTTCCGCACTTCTTGAAGAAACTCTCAATTTTGCAGATCCACGAGGTTAAGAACACACGTAGACTGTACTCATCATTGGCTTTTGGGATAGTGATGATCATAGTTCTTCCCATTTACTGGGAACACTACCCTCTTTAACAAAGATAAAAGGGATATAACAATAGGCTTTTCTCCGTAACAGCTGGTTTAAGTATTTCATAAGCTATTCCAATTTCCATTGGGGGCAGTAGATTTCCCTATTTTAATTGCTATTAATACTTGATCCCGGGCAGTGTATCTTGTCTTGAGATTATCTTGATGATTTCGGGGCTTTTAGTGTCCCCGCGGCCCGGTCCTCGACCAGGCCTCCACCCCCATGAAGCAGCCCGTGGACAGCTGACTAACTCCCAGGTACCTATTTACTGCTAGGTAAGAGGCATCAGGGTGAAAGAAACTCTGCCCATTGTTTCTCGCCGGAGCCCGGGATCGAACCCGGGACCACAGGATCACGAGTATAGAGTTCTGTCCGCTCAGCCACCGGCTCCCTATATGCATCAGGTGGAATGCTTTTCTTTTATACCTTAAATGCATTTCTCTCCTTAATTAGTTCTTCGTAAATTGCTTATGCCTTTACTGGCGTATAAATGTCGTACTAACACTTAATATGAAACGACGAGACTTTGATTGATTGATGAAGATTAAGCCACCCAAAAGGTGGCACGGGCATGAATAGCCCGTAAGTGGTGGCCCTTTTGAGCCATTACCAGTATCAAGAGATGATACTGGAGATCTGTGGAGGTGCGACTGCACCCTGCGTAACGGGAGATGTCTCCCGTGGAGACTTTCTTTTTTTTTCATTAGACGTAAAGTTCTATCCTCATGAATGGATGAACGGATGGATGGGTGTATGGATGAATGAGGTGGGCGGTGGACTGTGTAATCAACTTGGTATGTCCTCGCCATGACATTATTAACATCGTTATTAACACAATTAATATATAATTTTGCTAAATCTCAGTAATTCAATTAGCTCTTAATACCTTTCGGTTACCTTGCGATGGTTCCGAGGATCGACATCCCCGCGGCCCGGTCTCTGGGGATTACACTGCTCATAATCACTGCCACATTGAACAGGATTATGCATCAGACAATAGGTCTAAATTGTAGAGTTACACATTTCATGAGCTTACAATCTGCTATATCAGATAGAATACACGTTTTAATTTACACATTTTATAAAGTGGTATTGTAAATGTAAGTTTAGAGTTACGTGTCTGCACCTAGTGGACTCGGTCATAGCCTTGACCAAGCCCAGCAGCAACGAGATGTTGTTTCGTGTATTTCTCAGTAGAATATATTCTACTGAGAAATTCTACTATTCTACTATTGATGTAGAAACCAACTGCAGGATTATCCAGAACTTGGCTTTGTCATGTAGTCTGATACAGTTATGGACTAGTGTGCTTAAGAGGTCATGTAATTAATAAAACCATTAAACTGCGGAGTGTATTTTGATTTAAAATATTTTATTCGCATCAACACTATATTATTTTTTTCAATATTTTACTATTAAAAATTGCATCAATAGCTAAACTAAATGGGCTATTTTTTCTTGCAAATTCGCTACTTTCAGCATTTCAGATCTGGGCAACCCTTCTTTTGGGCAACGGTGACCTGAGCTTTCTCAAGGAGTAGGTTATAAGCTCAATGAGACAACCAGAGACCCAAGAGCTATCAGTATCTTATTTCAGTAAGCCTGGAAGGAAGGAATTTCAGGCGATCCTGAAGGGAAATACCTGTTGTCCTCGGTTCCTGTCCGGAAGCAGAGGAGTTCACAGAGTCACAACCTTTAACCTTTCATTCTATTCACCAGCTTTTAAATTTAAATTCACCACTTTTAAATATTTCTAGAAACAGAAATGGTTCTAGACACGGAGATGGTTGTGGGAGGAGGTAGTTATGGAGAGTTCATACCCATTAGGTCCTTTGTTACCCTGTAGATGAGAGGAGAGGGGGGGAGCTGGGGTAGGGTGAAGGTCGTCTGGACTTTCTGTTGCCTGGTGGGCCGGGGGTAGCGAGGGAGGGTTGTGTTGTGGTGGTGGCGGGAGCGGTTGTTTAGGGCTCTGTCGAGGGAGTTCTAGGAGTTGTGTTGGGGTGAGGTTGTACGATACGTTGTATTGGCTGAGGATGTGAGGGTAGGTGGTGGTGTGGGCGGGTGTGAGGGTAGGTGGTGGGCGGGTGTGAGGGGTAGGTGGTGGTGTGGGCGGGTGTGAGGGTAGGTGGTGGTGTGGGCGGGTGTGAGGGTAGGTGGTGGTGTGGGCGGGTGTGAGGGGTAGGTGGTGGTGTGGGCGGGTGTGAGGGGTAGGTGGTGGTGTGAGGGGTAGGTGGTGGTGTGGGTGGGCGGGTGTGAGGGGTAGGTGGTGGTGTGGGTGGGCGGGTGTGAGGGGTAGGTGGTGGTGTGGGCGGGTGTGAGGGGTAGGTGGTGCTGTGGGCGGGTGTGAGGGTAGGTGGTGGGCGGGCGTGAGGGGTAGGTGGTGGTGTGGGCGGGCGGGCGTGAGGGGTAGGTGGTGGTGGTGTGGGCGGTTGCGGGAACAGATGATGCTGTGGGCGGCAGAGCGCGTAAACTGCAGGAAATGTAAACAGTAAAGACGGTAGGCGACGGGTGATAGTGAATGGGTGACAGTGGTTGTGGTGTAAGGAGTCTACAAGTGAAGAATGTTACACAGCGTGTAACCCTGTAGACATAAACACGCGGAGAGTGACTACCACCACCTCCGCCCGGTGCTGCTATAGCGACACACACTAACGGTGTTAACTCCTTAGATGCCGGAAGCTTGTGTTTTCAAGTTTCTCCAGTGACCGTGGTCTGCTTTTGTTGGTGGGGTTGTAAACAACACCCACGTGGCTTTACGTCCCTTAGTTGTCTTGGGGAGGAAGGTGGGAGGAACCTGTCAGGAACCTGTCAAAACAGAGGTGGGTGATGAGCCACCGTTCCAGGGCGGGTGTGAAGCAGCAGCAGCAACGAAGACAACTGCCCCAAGACACTATTCATTACGTTTGGTGGGTGTGTTGGTGGGTATAGCAGTGGTAAAGGCAGTTGGTTCTGCAGATGGCGTTGAGGCTGGTGTTACCTGCTGCATGGGGGTTCTGGTAGTTTTTCTACTCCCCCCAAGCCCGGCCTGAGGCCAGGCTTGACTTGTGAGAGCTTGGTCCAACAGGCTGTTGCAGTTCAGGTTATTCAGGTCCGTGATCCATCAAGCTGTGGAGCCGGCGGCATGGTGTGGGGTGTTGGTCACTGGTGGTGCTTGAGTCGCCTCACGCCCTGGACGGCCTTGCTCTCAATACCCACCTTACACATCGCCAGTTTCACTTTCGTTTTTTGTGCCTCTTCGAAGTCTCTCTCTGGCGAGGCTGAGATTTATTAACTTCAGTTAGAAAAACACGGAGGAATTTGCGTTGCCTAGCGCCACAGGGAACACCGGGATGCTCAATTTATTCAGATTATATATGTGTATATATAATTTTATTTTTTTTTTTTTTTGCTGGAGTGCTCAAGGCTGTAAGGCTGGAGTGCTGCATAGTGGGGGGAAAGGCAACGGCGGTCATGGAAGAATTCAGGAAAAGCCATTGAGGTGAGCCAGGGTGCAGGTGTGTGGCAAGAACCAGTCTCTTCAGGACAAGCTGCTACGGGAGGCTATAGTCCACTCTGCCACCACCACCACCTGCTGGTATGGTATAGCATGACTGTTTAGCGGTGCCCCGCGCACCAGACCCGGGGAAGGAGGCGCACAGGCGCTGCAGGAAGGCCCGCAGCACTAACAGCAGTACCAGCTCTGGGGATCCTGCCTGGCCTTCAACTCGGCTTCCAGTAGCCTTTACGGGATCATGTTTTTGTGACGTCACAGTTACGTCAGCGTTAGCTCCGCCCTCTGCCGTTGCCCACTTGCCCCGCGCGGCTGTGCTGCGTCAGTCGGGTCTGGGGGAGGGAGCTGCGCAGGTCGCCTCTTGCGCGCGCGTGTGTATGTGTGTGTGAAGGAATGTGATCCATCTAGTGCCGTTTGATAAGTACGCTTTACAGTACACGTCTTGAAAATCAGGCACGAGGGCAGAGTTTTTACTGGCGTCTGGGTGATAAGTGTGGGAACGTTGGCCGCGGGTGTCGGCCATCCTTACTTGTGTGTGTGTGTGTGTGTGCTGGCCCCTCTCAGGTGTGTTGGAATGCACCAGATGAGGCAGTGTGTGTGCTGACGGGGTACTGGTGACTCTGGAGGCTTGTGGTCGGGTCCCGGTGGCATCACGACTCTAGAGACACGGCACAGGATCACCCTACCAGGTACGTCTAACGTAATGGTTCGTTTAAGTGAAGGAAGGCGTGTATAGGTGTGGGCTGGTGGTGGTGCTGGTGGTAGGCTGGGTGGAGGAGCAGCATCACGTGTTGTAGGGGGGGACACTGGTGGTGTAGAGGTGGACACTGGTGGTGTAGAGGTGGACACTGGTGGTGTAGGGGGGGACACTGGTGGTGTAGGGGGGGACACTGGTGGTGTAGGGGGGACACTGGTGGTGTAGGGGGGGACACTGGTGGTGTAGGGGGGGACACTGGTGGTGTAGGGGGGGACACTGGTGGTGTAGGGGGGGACACTGGTGGTGTAGGGGGGGACACTGGTGGTGTAGGGGGGACACTGGTGGTGTAGGGGGGGGACACTGGTGGTGTTGGGGGGGACACTGGTGGTGTTGGGGGGGACACTGGTGGTGTAGAGGTGGACACTGGTGGTGTAGGGGGGGACACTGGTGGTGTAGGGGGGGACACTGGTGGTGTAGGGGGGGACACTGGTGGTGTAGAGGTGGACACTGGTGGTGTAGGGGGGGTGGACACTGGTGGTGTAGGGGGGGGGGTGGACACTGGTGGTGTAGGGGGGGTGGACACTGGTGGTGTAGGGGGGGTGGACACTGGTGGTGTAGGGGGGGTGGACACTGGTGGTGTAGGGGGGTGGACACTGGTGGTGTAGGGGGGGTGGACACTGGTGGTGTAGGGGGGGGGGTGGACACTGGTGGTGTAGGGGGGGGTGGACACTGGTGGTGTAGGGGGGGGTGGACACTGGTGGTGTAGGGGGGGGGTGGACACTGGTGGTGTAGGGGGGGGGTGGACACTGGTGGTGTAGGGGGGGGGTGGACACTGGTGGTGTAGGGGGGGACACTGGTGGTGTAGGGTGGTACGCCCCACACACACCTGTTACACCTCCACACACACCTGTTACACCTCCACACACACCTGTTACACCTCCACACACACCTGTTACACCACCACAGATAGACTGGTACTCTGGACGCCGCCGTCCCCACCCTGCGACCTTGAGACGAGAAATCAGTTTCCTAAAAAAAATCAACAATACTTATTTTAGTTTTAGTTCTCTCAGATCAGTGAAATTGAAAAGAGACGCATGCAAGTTTTTTTTAGGGGTGATAGGGGGATTAGAGTAGGATTGTAAGAGAGAGAGAGAGAGAGAGGGGGGGGGGAGAGATTGAGAGAGAGATTCGGTATGTCATTCCTACGTGACCTTATTTAAGGAGGTCAAGGCACGAAGTCCGAGCGAGGAATGCCACCTTGCTGTTCCTGCCCTCCGGAGGGGCGACCCACTCACTCCACGTTCACAGGACGCGTGGAATGGTTCTGTTGACCATTTTTATTATTATTTTCTACCACAGATGTTGTAGAGCATTCACAGGTGTTGGGGCACGTTCCTTCCCCCGGGTTGTCTAGGGGCGTCAGTTAGCTGATGACTGCGTTAATTCACACGCGTTTGTGTGTGCTGTAAAAAGGAGAGCAGAGCTTAGTGTGGTGTTTCGGATAATATTAAATGCGATGTGCGCGCGTCGCCCGGCCTCGCCAATTAGATAATTACTCTTGTGTCTGAATTAAGATTGATGGCACTGGTAGTGGATTTGCCAGTTGAGTATAAAAGGGAGGTATGGCGGATTGATGATAGCAGTACTCGCCTAGTTGTGCTAGCGGGGGTTGAGCTTTGGCTCTTTGGTCCCGCCTCTCAACTGTCAATCAATTGGTGTACAGATTCTGAAGCCTATTAGGCTTCAGAATCTACATATCCACATTTGAAACTGTGTATGGAGTCTGCCTCCACCACATCACTTCCTAGTGCATTCCACTTACATTCCATTCCACTCTGGCAACTGAAAAAAGATCTTTCTAATGTCTGTGACTTATTTGGGTACTCAGATTCCACCTGTGTTCCCTTGAAAGGCAGTGTGTGTGTTCCCCTGGCGGGGGGGGGGGGGTAGTTTGGTGTGGTGTGTTCCCCGGGGGGGGGGGTGACTGCAGTGCATGTTAGGACGTGAGTTCACGCCCCCTGGGAGTGTGACTGCAGTGTCTGGCCCCCTGGGATTAATACTAGTGTGTTGAGCATGAGTGTGACTCATGCTACCTTATCGGTTGAGGAAGAGGAACGCAAGGTGTGTGTTGAGGGGGGGGGGAGGTGAGAGCCTACTTAACGGAAATGCTTAAGGTAGAAGCAGGATGTTCGGGGGAGCTTCCTTGCTCCAGCACCTTAATAAAGTTCCGTCACTACTGAACCCTCTTAATTTGTCTCGTATGCTGTATTAAGATAGCTGCACCTTGAGTGCATTATAGCAACCTTAGAAACACTTAAAACACTACTCTTTGTTACCACTTTTACTGTGCAGTGTTTCTCCCCCCTCCCCCGTGCGATGACTTGATATATTGTATTACACAACAGTGTAGAGCACTGTTAGTTTGCCTACAATAAGTGTATCGTCCTTAGTACAATATCCTAGGCGTTAAGTGCAATCATTTATTGAACACTACGATAAAGATGAAATTCGCTCATTAAATGATTCAACAGCTAGCAATATAATAAACGGGAATTTGTTGTAGTTTAAATCATTCTAACTTCACTGTTATCAGCCGTCAATAGGGAATTGTATCAAGAATCTAAATTATTAATACTGTATTAACTGTAAACTGTTGGAGGTGTGTGGGTAGGTCACCTTTAAGCCAGTGTTGCCCGGAGGTGGACTGGCTCAACCAGGAACCAATCACAGCGCCGCTCCTCACTTCTTATAGTCATGCTCTCTTCCGGTAAGTGTCCTATAATAATTAAGGAATTGTGCCTTTAGAGGTCCGCTCCTGTGCCAGGTAAGTCCACTACGGGCTCACCATAGCCCGTGCTACTTGGAACTTATTCCGAGTAGCCAAGTTCCGAGTAGCTGAATCTATAACAACTGCCTGCCTTTATAGCCTAGGCCGAACCAATATATCGCTATTTCACGCGCCAATTGGTGAGCCTAAGTGAGGTTAGGCTTCGGTTTAGTAAACATATTTTTCCAGTTCCGAGGCTTTGCCGTTAGCAGCTGTGTACGATAAGTATTATTTGTTCACTGTCCTATTGGACTGCGCAGTCAGTCCTTGAACACTACGTTATCCTGTAGAACATTAGCACAGGCTTGAGTATTGTGCCGACTCTGTGAACCTTGCAGAACGTCAACAACATTGCTTGTGTTTTGATTAGTTGGAATGTTGCGGTAGTATCTATGGAGGGCTGTGTGAACCTGTGTGTGTTTTGACTAATGCTAAGGGGTGTTAGAATTGTTGTGCCTTCATTGTACTTCTCGTGGGGGGAGGGGGTATATGGCTGGAGCCTGTGTCACCTCTGGCAGCCTGGGAGGGGGTACACGACTGGAGCCTGTGTCACCTCTGGCAGCCTGGGAGGGGTACACGACTGGAGCCTGTGTCACCTGTGGTAGACTGGGAGGGGGTACATGACTGGAGCCTGTGTCACCTGTGGTAGCCTGGGAGGGGGTACATGACTGGAGCCTGTGTCACCACTGGCAGCCTGGGAGGGGGTAAACGACTGGAGCC